CATCTATGTCTGGTTGCTGCTGGTTATGAATGCATGTTGCATCTATTTAGCTCTAATTGGAGAGGCCTAGCAGGATACTGATAGCACGGAACAGAAAGAACATTAGTACAGCCCTTCTAGATAAATTAAAAAAAAAAATCTAGGTACAGTACTGCTGCATCTGTGTAGGCCAAGCAAACATTCATATAGTGCACAAACAAGCCAACCAAAAACCAAAGTAGCAATTGCATAGTTATTAAGTTAAATATTGCAGCAATTTTGCAGGTTTGGATGATTTGGTAATGAAATAAGTATGAGCATGGAATGAACTGGAATAATGCAGTGGTAACTCAGGTTCGCATATCTTAATATAGCTACAAAAATCAGAATGTTTTGCAAAATTTTGAACAAGAATTGGTTTGAAAACCTGTATTTTGGGGTACATTTTCAATATGAATGCCACCTCTAAAAATGGGTTCATTTGCTAAAAAAATTTTGCTAGGAAGCTGGCCTAATTGCCACTTGAAATAAATCTTTTTTATACTTGTGCAAAGCACTATGAATGGAACTATAAACATAGTCCTGTTTATAACAAAATGAAGAAATACACACCAAGCAATTAAGATAATATTAAGTCTAGATAGAGAATTTTTAATTTGTGTAATATTCTGCTCTATGTAATCAGTAATACTCTGTAATTTTATTTTTTTTAATAGCAGCTTCTTATCCTAATCCAAAAATCACCAAAGCATTCTGGAATAGGACATTCAAAAGAGAACAAATATAGATTTTAATTTCACTTAACTTTTACATTTACTTCAAAGAAAATGTGTAAGCACATTTTTAACTTTAAGCATATTATGTCCTGTTGACCTTGAAAGCTTGCCTAAGTCCCATTGCTCAAACCTGTACTAGTTTGTTCTTAAATAAGGATGTGACTAATTTTGTGCTTAGATCTAAACACACGCTTAAGTATGGCTGATATGGAGTCAGAGACTTTTCAGGTAATGACCTTGTACACAGTACTTTCTTCTCAGTAGTGTCCATCCTATAAAATACAGATGCCATCTATAGTTATTATCTTGTGTGGTTTTTTGCAAAATATCAGCTGAACATCTGTTGCATTTTAGGCTTATACAGCATTTACCAAGGAGAAGAGAGATTCTGCTACACTTTATTCAAGATCATGTTACAAGAAAACAACAGTTACAGCTGACAAACCATCACATCTTCCATAATACAGACAAATTACAAGTTGTAACAAATAATGCAACACTAATTTTACCATACTGCTTACTATGCTGTCATTCTGAAGTATATATATACTTAATTACATTAACATTGTTTTCATGTACCAAACCCCTTTTGAAAGAAACAACTCTTAGTGCATCCTACAAAAAACCCAACTTTAGCTGGTGAGCCAGGAGTTTTTATGCTGCACTGTTGAAACATATTTTTGGGTGGGATTTTATAGTGCATCCTTTTCATTACTTTTGCTTATGTCAAAAATGCAAGTCAGTAACATATATAGTTACCTCCCCCTATATGTAAGTAGGGTAGGCTATTGTTATGCTCAGTAATGCAACATATTTCTATTTATACGGGGTATCAGTATTTTGCTCCCCAGTATGTACAGCCTAAACATTTTATATAACAAAGATTACAAAACCAATAATATTCACAGATGAGTATTTTTATAGAAGCATAACAGAGCACTGACTATACATTCAGTCATGTGTACACTTCCAAAGAGCACACTGAGGGATAGATATCCCACTAGTAAGCAGGAATTTGCCATTCTAATGTCCTTTGGCATTAGTGAGAGCTGCCCAAGTCAGGATCTCCCACCCACCAAAGGGAAGAATGCCTCCCCAGCATCTCTAGCCATTGCAGGTAAAGTTTTCATGTGCTGCATGTGCAGATTTACTATCCTACACTATGATTTTCTTTAAAAATATATATAAAAATAAAGAGACCAGATCAATTCAGGATACTATGCAGTGATGATGCAGCTGATACTATCACAGTGCTAGAGTGTCCTGACCAGTGCTGTGCAACCCCCTGCTAGGTATGATGTGTTAGGGCTAGGTGACCCTAGCCCTACAGGACTGTGGACTACTCCATCTCCAGGTGGTTAACTTGTAAAGTTCAGCCATATCAATTTAAATATCCCAAGAATTCTCCTTTCCCACAGACCATCCACATCATCACCTCCCCCTATCAGCCACTTACTGTCATACAACTTCAGGGGGCTAAAGCATGCTTTTCTGCTTTCATCTGCCTGGTATAGCCACCCTGAAATTTCAAGGACGCTAAACAGATGCTCCCTCCTTTCTCTCAAGTAAAGCCATCATCTCCCATCAATTTTGAACAGCATCTCCAAGGGACAGCCATGTGGTAGGAAAATGAAAGCTATTCCACTACTGCCATCAGTCACTATGGGTGAACAGGGACCAATAATGTCTAACAGCTTCTCAAGCACAGAGATTACTGTTTCTGCTGGTGCTTGGTTGCTAAACCAGCCAAGAGAAATAGGAAATGCTGCACTGCATGCCCGTAGTGTAACACAGCAGTGGCTGACAGCAGGAACAGGACTTTTTCCTGGTCCCTACAGCGCTCTTGGAGAGCTGGGTTGCCTGTTCTTGCCCCACGTAGAACAGATCTAGACTTGATTGGGGAGCAGCCATTGTCCTGCCTAATGTCCCCTAAAGAGCATTCAGTGGGAGGATGGTGAGCCAGTGTCTCTGTGGAGAGCTGTGGAGGAAACACCTGTTCAGTATGTTATTGACCCCACCAACCCCCTCCTTCCTCACAAATAACAATAAAAAGAGGATCTCATATTTAGCATGGGATCTAGCTGATGGTTTTTGAAAGGTGACAACGAGGTAGGTAGGGACTGCTCTGGAAGGAAAGGGACAGGGAACACATCATGTAATCATCACAGCCAGGGCCTGGGAGTTTTCAAGACCTAAAACAACATTCAGAGCTTCATTAAACCTTGGAGCTCTCCCTCATGTTGCGTGGGTTTGGGGATCCAAGTGAACATTTTTGTAGTAGCCTATGCTTGACCACATCAGATTTCTGGATACAAACATCCCTCCCCTCCAGAGCAAAACTCACACGTGCATTCCAGAGCTTCCTCAACAGAAGAATAAACCTGTGAATGAACACAGCCCAAACTTGGGGCCTGAAGTCAGGTGCAAAACTGAGTGAACTGGTTCTTCAAATTGCCCCAAATTCTGCTGGTAGTTCAGATATGCGTAGAACCTCTAAAAATTGAATCACTTTCTATTTACACCCTATCTATATTCATGTGCCTCAATTCAGGCACTCGAGTTTGTTCATTTTGGCTACAAATTGGAATGATTTCAATGGTTGTTTAAACGTAGGGCTAGGGAGAGAAGAGAATTTTTCTCTCTCTCTTTCTCTCTCTCTCTCTCTCACACACACGTGTGCACACACAGGCACACACAACTTGAGCAAATGCTATGTTTAATTTCAGATGTATAGTAAGGTGCTAGATTTGTAACCCTCTGAAGGGAACAGTTTGAGGAATTACTCTCTACATCAAATCATTATGTTTTGTTGAGAAGAATAATTGTTTACCTCCCTACTTAAGCTGCCAAAGTAGATCTATGTCTAAGAAACTATACTTCTTTTACTAACTGAAACCTTTGTTACACTTTCAAAAAATCTTCAGATTTTTGCAGTAATGTAAAGCCTTTTTCTTTAAAAACCAGCTAATTTTAAATATTGAATGGCTTATGATTTTAGCATAGATAATGTACAAAAGATTTTCCTCTTACAAAAAAATGAAACATGAAACTCAAAGTAAATTATAAATAAGGCAGTTTCAGTGTGTGGTAAATTCAAAAGTTCAGTGGATTTTTTCTTCTTTCCCTTGTAAAAATTTGTAGCAAGTTTTAAACCGGAGTGTGATTTAAGTCACTTTCCATTTCTGAACTGCAAAGATGTCACAGGGGACATATAGTTTTAATGGCTATGCAGTTATTAGGTATATTTGCACACCTTAACTGTGTTTGAAAGTGCAGAATAATATTTATACTGGTTCATAAGACGTACCTGGTACCTACTGGTACCTTCTGAACAATCAAGGATTTGCTTTATTGGGTGTTCTTTAGTAGTTCCCAGCAGAAACACTGCCAGAATTTGATTAAGGGGTATTAATCAGAGTCCCTTTCCTCCTTCCAAATGAAACATTAAATGCTAAACCAATGCATTTTTATGTCAGCACATGAACTCAGGAAGTAAAGAAACCTTTATATTTTGAATAAAAAGGCTTGAAACTCCCTTTCAAGCACTATTATAACTCAACAGTAGAATCTGCTCCATTCCCAGTATCTGTGTTCAGTTTTATGCATTCTACATTGGAGTTGTCATATTCTACAAATTTCTCTCACCCCTAGCCTTTCCCCTCCAGCCAGAGGTAGCAGGCCACCCTTTTTAAAAATTACATACTGTACTGTTTGCAAAGTGTGCATTTAAATGTTTCATTAAGAAAAAAGCAATTAAGTGTTTTCTAGCGCAGAATGTCTAAGGAAAGGTACATTGATGGGAAACAGCAAACTTCTTGGATTCGGATGACTTTTCAGTGTGCTTTTTAAGAAGCAGAAAACAAAGCTAGTTCTAATGGCTCATTCAGCAAATACTGTTTCTACATCCAAGTAGTTGTCCTAAGTTGCCCTAAAGCCAGCTCAGTTCTCTTTCATCCTCTCCTTGTCATCTATTTCAGAAAATATTCCAGAAGGAAAATAGTGTGGAAAAAGGAAAAGATGTAGTCAAGGCCCCAAAACATTAATGAATACTCTATATTCTTAATGGAACTAAAAGGATAAGAAATGTGTCACTGTATCTGTCAGGATACAGTGTCTTGTAATTTTTGTGTGTGTGTGCATGTTTGTTTTCAATGCAGGCCTATTTTAAAAACTGACATGCTACACAGTCTAAGCAGACTAACCAAATTCTGAGTTTCTAAATAAACATGCAATTATTGCCATGTTTAAAAAATGGATCTGAATGCTCTGGAGGGGGGCGATGGATGGGACATTTTAGGCATAGTGGCATGACACTGTAATTGTCAATCAATCCATCACATTGGGCTTGCACTAGCTAGAAATAGTCTTCCTGTAGGTTGCAAAATATGCACAACTCTCAAAGAAAACACACATTCTTTTATGCCACTATTTTTTTTATGTACAGACATTACTGAAGTAGTGTGAACACCAAATGTGTTGTCTTAATGTATTTAAGACTTTGCTGGTGAAAGCATAAAAATCCTTACAAAGATGTTACACTGCTGTGGAAAATCAAACAAAATCAAACACAAAAGACTGAAAAGAGTACATGCCATGTATCAGTAAGCAAAAGCTTAATCTTCACATAGTTCTCCGAAATCACAAGGTATCCAAATGCGTGCAAGGTTTTAAATAATTGCAGGGAAAAACAGTATCTTGCCAGATTCAATTTTCTTTTGAATGAAATCCACCATAGAGAGAGAGAGAGAGAGAAAGGAAACAGGGCCACGGTTCCTTCATATTACTGGCCTCCTCATTAAATGTTGTTCCCTTCCTTCAGACTGGTGAGCTTAATCCTGTAATGAAACAACAGAAATTATAATAAGTCTTATGAGCTGCATCATTTCATGATCTGTGAACCTAAAACAAGTTTTCCCCAAATCAGCCTCTTTTTGTCAATTCTGAATAACATACAGAAGCCCAACACACATTCAACAAGACATTTCAACAAAATGGAAACTCAAAAGTCAGTCTTTTCAAATAAGATGCCCAAAGTGAGGCACCTAAATCCAGACAGAGGCATCTACATAAAAGTGACTTGATCTTTAGCTGACATGGGCACCCACATGCCCACTGAGTTTGTACAGTAATATTTATGGTAGCAGAGTGCTGTCTCTGCAGCAAAGATGTTCAAGCACCACGTGAGTAGAGAGTAACCTGCTGGTTATTGCTGCACACTTTGGAATTTACAAGCTATACCTGCTTCTTTTCCTTAATCCTCTCCTGTCAAGCACTAAGGGATCTCTCTAGTGGCAGCTTGTTTGATAGGGCATCTCAGATAGGTTGAGATTGTCAACCGTTTCCCTCATACTTCGCCTCCAAAAGGGATTTGGTAACACAAGTGTATATTACAGATAGACCACTGATAGACATTAAGCTTAAGATGTGATGGGATCTAATCCTCAATCCAACAATCGCGTCCTGCCATGGCACAGATAAAGCCAATCAGCTGATTGTCAGTTGGGGCCAGGAAGCAAAACAGTTCCTAGTCCTAGCTGATAATCAGTTTGGCATATGGGGAGCCTGGCATTGAGCTGCCACAGCCTGATACCTGGCTCCCTGTACATGGGGAGCTGTACTAGCCCCATATGACACCCAACTGAGTGGTGCATATGGTTCTGACAGGTCGCAGTGCATGGGGAGCCCAGCATCAGGCTGCAGCAGCCCTCTGCTGGACTTCCTGCACACCAGGACCTCTCCCAGTTTCAAAATGGCCAAAACTGGTTTGAGATCAACCTGGTTGAATGTAGTATCGGACTTAACTGATTTGTTTCAAACCGATTTATGCAATGTCTGTCCCAGACCCCTTGCTGGTTTAAAATAAACCAGACATCCCCAGCATCCCAGCATGCTCTCTGGGCTGGACTCTCTGCTCCAGCTGCAGGGCTGACCCAGCCCCTTTGCTCTCTAGCTGGAGCAGGGATGAGCCCTAGCAGAGACACCGGCTGGTATGGCCCTGTTAAGGCAAAGTGGGCAGGGAGGGGGTTAATTCTTCCCTCCTTCCCTTCTTCTCCCACCACAGCCAGGGTCAGCCTGTCTGCCAGGGAGCAGAGGGGAGGGAGCTGCAGTGGGGGCCCCTGGAGCTTGGAGACCCCGGTTACAGGGAAGGGACAGAAGGAGAAATTAACTCCTCTCCCTGCCCCCTTTGCTTTTAACAGGGCCATGCTGGATTGGTTGTCCCGCAGGGTGGGGAGGGGGGCTCTGTTCCATGCTGGGGGGCACTCTTCCCTCTCCTCCTCCTCCCAGGGTGGGGAGGGGGACTCTGTGAGGCGCTGGATGGGGGACTCTTCCTCCTCCTCCGCTTCCCCCCGCCCCCCGCCCCTGAGGAGTTGGGAGGGGGTACTTCATGAGATGCTGCCCAGCCTCAGAGCAGGGGCGAAGGGCAAGGGGAGGCTCTGTTTCATGCTGGGGCAAACTCTTTCTCCCCTTCTCTTTCTCCTCCCAGAGGGGCAGCAGGAGCACGGAGCTCAGCTGGGCAGGGTGTGGGTGTAGGGTTAAGGGAGGGCTCTTCTAGCGCTCCTGGGTTTCTGGCTTGAGCCACTGCAGGCATGTGCCAAACATCTATCCACTTGCAGACCGGTTCACTCTTTGCAGGTTAGACTAACCTGCAAAGACAGAATCAATTCAGGCTTAGGGTTTTTGAATGTCTGTTCCTAGCCTAACAGTTTATGGCCACTGCTCCTTGTCCTCCCTTGGGGCGCCCTAGTGAACAGTTTTTCTCCCAGCTCCCAATATTCACCCCTTACATACTTACACATGGCCACCAAGTCCCCCCTCAGTCTTCTCTTTCCCAGGCTGAACAGTCCCAGATCCCTTAGTTTTTCCTCATAAGGTTTGTCCTCCAAGCCCTTAATCCTTCCTGTGGCCCTTCTCTGCACCCTTTCAAGATTCCCCTTGTCTTTTTTGAAGTGTGGTGCCCATATCTGGACACAGTATTAAAGCTGGGGCCTCACCAGCACTAAGTAGAGAGGAGGTATCACTTCCTTAGCCCTGCTCACAATGCATCGGCTAATGCATCCTAGTATGCTATCAGCTTTGTTGACTACAGCATTGCATTGGTGGCTCATGTTCATTCTGTGATCAACCATAACCCTGAGGTCCCTTTCAGCCATTGTGCTGGCCAGGACATCTCCTCCTAACCTATATTCATATTGCTGGTTACTTCTCCCGAGATGAAGCATTCTGCATTTATCCTTACTGAACAAAATCAAGCCCTACAGTACTAAAGTCCTTGGGAATGTATAAGAAAAACAAGAGTAGTGGAGAAGCACAGCAACAATCACTAACAGCATCACTTTGGCATTTATTATGGCATAAAGATCAACAGTGGTGGTGATAAACATATATGGTAGATGTTAAGAACTGTCCAATATGTGCTCTTTTGTTTCTTTCTGCTGAGGTTGGCATAAACCCACCATGGATTTTATTACTAAAGTTATCCCATCCTCAGTTTTGCTGGCTTAAGAAACATCTTTCCTTTAGTGCTCAGGCTGGGATGCTTGGTTTCCTGTTATACCAAAAACAAGAGTCTTTACATGGGGTGCTTTCATTAGAGCACCTCTGAGAGCCACTGTTATTAAAGTGCTTGCAGTGTCTTGTGTATTCAGCATCCCATGCTTCAAAATGACGAGGAAGTACTTTAACTAAAGCTCAGTCAACAAGCTTTAGTTAAAGTGTCCCCGCCATCATTTTAAGCATGGGGACACTGAATACACGAGACGTGGAGGCTGCTGGAACATGCTAATTAGGACAGCGTATTGGAGCAACATTCCCACACATATACAGGCATCCATGACTAACATGACCAATACTGCCCCATTTCCTTATTCCCTGCTAATCAAGCATGGAGAGGTTTCAGCTCAAGCTGAGTCAATTTGCCAAACATTGCAATTTTGGACTAACCTTAACAAATTGTTTTGTATGGGAAAAAAATTCAGGGCTGAATTTACAACATTTCCAGAGATGGTCATAGCGCCTTCAAAATACTCTCTTTGCCTGATTCAGGGCAGGGATGTGAATGCATGCAGATGGTTTCAAGTGAATATTCCACTTGTGGGAATTAAACCTGGGTACCCTCATTCTATGCGAGTATCTGAACCATTGACCTCTTGGATTAAGGCTGCCACCACCTTCTTCCTTATGAATCTAATCCTCCTTCTCCTTTGCTTTACTGACAAATGTATGAAACAACATTTTGTTTCACAAAAAAACACAACACAATTATAGTCTGCTTTTTGCTTTGGCAAGAAAAACAAAACAGAAAAAACTGCAGCTAATCTGAGCCAATCACTTTTTCTGATTTTTTGGTTTGGCTGCTGAACTAAAAAAATCAATTCTTCACATAGCCCTAAGACCTGGGGCTGCTCCTGAAGCAGGGTTTTCCACACTGCACTCTAGTTTAATTTCCTTATGGCTTAGCATCTTGCTTTTGCATTTAAAAAAAAAAAGATTTAGTTCAGAAAAAAATCTTTGCTTGAAATTTGCTAGTTTTTCCATGCATACACAAATCAAGGTTTTGCTGGGTGATTTAGCAGATTGTGCTTCCTCTGGTCACAGCTTTGCCTAGAAAAGCATAAGCTGCAAAATGGAATATTTACCACTCGCCATTTCCCAAGAACAAACCAGGGCCCTCTCTGCTCTCTTTACAAAAACCTTCAGAAATGGAACAAACTGCTTTAAAAATTAACTTGTACTTTTGCACTGCAGAATGAGGCAATTTTGATTTAATAATGTCTCTACTAGAAGTAACAGAAGATTATAAGCAAGTTAATGATGAATCTGATATATTCAGTGACCTAAATGAAGCAACATAATTGTGTGTTTGTTATCTAGAGAAATTCTCCACTGTGCACATCCAGTTCTCTCTCACACCTCCAATGACAGAAAAGTATGTATTTATTCATCTTAAAAATAAGCAAAGAATTATCATAATGCTGTATCTGAAGATATAACACCAATACAATTGAAAGATACAAAAGCTATGTATTTTAAATATTAATTCTAATTTAAAGGCAGGGAGAAGAGCAGGGTGAGTAAGGGGATATTACTTCCTAAAGACTTTGTCTGTTTCTAATTGAGAAAAATAATTTTCTTCCCTTTAAAGTGTGTCTCTCTAGTTTCACACAGATGCCTTTTGGTGGGTTCAGTATCCTTCCCAAGGTGCTGTGAACGTGGGTATAAAGTATAAATCAGGGTGGAGTTGTACTCCTGCAGAGCCCTTAGCATGCAACACATACTCCAAGGGCAGGTCTATTTAGATTGCAGCTGGGTTAGCCTGTTCATTCCTCTGAAATCAGATTTTAAATATAAAAGCAAGCAGACAACTGGGGGATACCATATCTTCAACAAGATAAAATGTCATAATTTAAATGTCTCAACAAAATATCATCTCTATTTCTCTCTTACACACACATACCCACCCACCCCTCTTTCTCC